ATATTTTATCAACGTTTTAAGCTAAATATTCAGATATTTTCCATCAGCCGTATTAATTGATATGGCGTATACCTCCACTACACTACTTTGATACTCATCGTGGGGATTAAGAAGTGAGTATACGCAATGCCTACAACAACAAAGAAGTGGGTATACGGCGTATACCTGCGTATATCCTCCACTACACTACTGCCCGCCAGGCAAAATGAGTATGGACAGCCCTGCTTTAGTGTATTCGATAAGGTTCCTCTCGTGTATATAAATTGTTCAGTGTTGATTATGGTGACTAATAGGAATAGGCTACAGCACTGATGAATATCTGAGGGAACATGACATTTGTTTGTAGTTGTCCACATTCTCCTGTGTCTTGGAGCCTCACAATCATTAGAAATTGGAGTTGATTAACTCTATTCTATATTATGCATTGAGGCTTCACAGATGAACACAACATGTCTTTTGAGTTCGATTGGTGCTGTCCTAAAAGTTTTATCCAAGGGACACCTCACACTTGAGCAGAAGTGCTATTACTATGCTGATGTAACGTGTAATGTAGCCTATAGCCTACATATTCTAGGCTAACCCTGCAAAACCACATCTAAAAACAAGTTGTTTTCAAGAAAGATAAACCCTGTCTCTAAAACAGGAGTCGCATACGCTAATATAGCCTAAGCATAGACTAAGTAAAATCTTAAGTATACTTTGTGTCAACGATGAGGTTTCTACATGATCATTTAGTGTCTATTTGTGGAATGGCATTTTCATTGGCAGTTTGATTTCTTATTGAACTGCTTTTCCTGAAATGATGCCTTTTGATTGAAGTATGCCAGTATATAATCTGTGGTCTATACTTGTATGCCACACAATTTTAAGGCCTAAAATTGTCTCTCCAACTGCAACACAACATGTTTTTACTACCACACTTGAATTGAGGCTTCCAAGAGTTATTGGCTTGTCATGTAGATTGAGCCTATAACAGCTTCTTATAGGCTTGAGTGATACTGGCTGTATAGACTCACTTTACATGTTATTACCGGTAAATCATTTGCAGATATCAATACTACTACAATAACCACTCTAAACTGATTAGCTGCTAGGCTTTGCTATGAATGTACTCTTAACCTATAGCTTACTGCATATTTCGTGACCCAAGTTCTTTATAATTTCACAGAGCTGTCATGCTATGCAAACCGTACAGGCCTAGGAGGCAAAATGCTAATGTAAAAAATTGGGTTTTGACTGCAGTTATTTATAAAGTGGGGAGCTTTCCCTAGGGGGGCATTATTTGACTCTATTGCAGACTGTTTTCGGAGCAGGTACTTATTGTTCTGTCGAGATTTAAGTGGACACAGCACAGATGATATTTGATTCCCATGTCTGAGACATTGGAAGTTTACTGGTATGAGTGGGAAGTTGGGAATCTAATAGGCCTACTCAGGGCTCTGAAGTGCGACCATTTTACTTGCATATGTGCCTAAATATTTGCGAGCACCAGTGCGCCTAGAAAAATGTATTACCTCAAATATTTTTAATTGTGCTCCTACATTTCTTTGTGTATGCCTTCAATTTAGGCGCAAATGTGCTCCATATAAAAAAGGTCAGCATAGAGCCCTGCTACTGCTTGATGAAAGTAAGCAATTAAGTTGTTTCATGGAACTCTGCCACTGGTGTCATAAAGTTGTAAATACCTTCTCAAGTCTCTTGTCAGATTCAAACTACCCAGGTAACTAACATTGATTTGATAGAGTATTAGAAATCAATATTTTACAGTCTATTTTAATCATTTCTTGTAATTTTACAGCACTGATCCATATTTTGCTTTGTGAAAGCAGGTAGATGTCTTGCGATAGCATTAGAATGGAATCTCAGACATTGATGAGGAGTTAGTTATGTCACCATAAGGTTTATTGAGTCACCTGGTACATCAGAATTGTGGAAACTCCGGTGACTTGACTAAACATAGATTAGAGAAGCGGAAGACTTTGCAGAGCTTTATTCCCCAGTCCTCTTCCGCTCTGCAAGGGAAATAGTGCGGAAGGCCACAAAGGAGGCCACATGGCTAGATTACCTAACTTCAAGCAGGAAATGCTCACTCATGTAGAGGGTCTCCTCATCCACCTGTATTGCCACTTCATAGACTAGTGATAGTGCGAGCTAGCATGCTAGCTGTTCCGGTAGACTTCCAGTCATTGCGTTAACCCTAGTTAGCATTGGCTCCAGGGTGGGAAATGTAATGGCCAAATGTTACTAGCCACTCAAATCTTATACCAGACACATTTCTTTAAAAAAAAAACATGCACATGTTTTGTAATGTTAAAACAACATATTAGTGTGTTTTTCCAGCAGGCAAGGCCGCCATCTTTCTCTCTATTGTTTGAACCAGATATTGAGCCTATGCTGTACCCCACCCTGCTTTTACCACTGTAGCGTTGATATTCTCTCTTCCAGAGATGACACACACACTCAGATATGTATGTTGTTGTTGCTTTTTTACATGTGGGCTTTGGATAAAAATAAATAAATAAAATGCTCCCAAATGCTCTGTGTGACCACCCGCCAATGTCTACAAGCCAATGCCTAAATCTACCAGCATTTGGCTGGTGTTAATTTCCCACCCTGATTGACTCGCAGAACTACTTCCTTCATACTGGACGCAGAAACATAACATTTTTATCCATAATTGCCAGAATCTTGCACTATTACTTTAACATATATTTATTCAGGTTATGTTAATGCGGTAGCAGTTAAGCCTGGGACAGAGGTTATGTTATCTACAATCTTAGGAGGATAAATGTCCCTTATTCAATTCTCTGGAAGGCTGATTGATTGCAGGCTGAAAATATCACATCCCTGAAGAAGTTATGACATGCCTGGATAAATCCACTGTGCAATTTGGCTCCACATTGAATTCATTTCATTGTGATTGCTGTCATTTCAGTTTTTTGGCTTTGTATTATTTATATGATTACTGTGTTCATGTTGTTATCATAATGGTTGTTATTACAGTCTTGCCCTGGGGTGCATAAGCCGTTTCCCATGGTTGTGTGGTCAGGAACCCAATGTTCTGTAATTGTAACTTTATCCCACTGTTGATCGCTCCCCTTTCCTCAGTCAGCAGGGGTCTAGTTTTACTGAGAAAGTCATATTTAAGCACATCAAAGTTGTTTTTTTGGTTCTTATTGTGCAGTTTGACACAGTATGACACAGTCATCATTTTCTCATGTCTCCTAATTACAACTGTCTGTTGTGTGTGACGTGTCATTGAGAGAAGATGTCTCAATGCAATTGGTTTGTTGATCATTTAAGATCTCTGGTACATGGAATTAGTCATATTTCTGGTCCTGTATGTATCAAGCGTCTCAGAGTAGTCAGACAGGTCCCCCCCGTTCATGTAAACGTATTAATTGTGATCTAAAAGGCAAAACTGATCCTAAGTCAGCTCTCCTACTCTGAGACACTTGATGCATGAGGCCCCTGATGTCACTCCCTTTCCTTGTCCCTCTTGAAGTCCACTTATGATTGGGAGAATTAACATTTTTGAACAAAGTGTTCTCTCTCCAGCCCACAACCTCCAACCAACAGCACACGTCATGGTCTAATCTCTCTGTAGTTGATTGTACCAAGTTAAGAGCCAGGCTACCTCTTAAGGACCTCTCTTGCAAACAAGGTCATTGATATGATTATGCCCTGGCTTCAGCTAAGCATTTTGTAACTTTGATAATGATTGCCAGGAAAACTAGGCTGCCTATGACGGGACAGACAGTGTTTCTAACGGTGACACTAGAATGGCCGAAAGTGAACAGGCACCCAATTTCCAATATAGTGCAGTGCACTACTTTTGACCAGAGCTCTATGGGTCTTGGTCAAAAGTAGTGCACTATAAATGGAATAGGGTTCCATTTGGGACGCACAGGTCTCCTCTGCTCTAGCTGTATGAATAAAACGGCATCTTTCGTTCAACAAAGACACATAGAGTCAATGTTTGACTCACGCCAAGTTCTCTGTAAGCTGAAACCATTGACCACCTGGAATATCAAAGGGATTGAAAAGGGTAAAGCTTTCTGTTGATGTTCTCTTCAACAGGAATACATTAGGAAACCTTAATCAGAGTAGGTCATACAGCATGCACCACCACCTGATTCCTCGCAATCAGTTAGTTTAACGTTGGCTACCAATTATCTTGAAATGGGTACAAAAACTCATCAGAAATGCATATTATGCAGTACAATGATCATACCAGACTTTGATGTTACACCTCTTGGTGCTGCACCACCACCAGCCCTGTCTGTCCTTGCTTCCTGTCTGCCTCTACTGTGCCCAATGGCTCCTGACCTGCATTAATGGGTCTTCCTACAGGGGGAGGGCGAGTGGCTCCAGCCACGTGCCATCACTTATCACAGCCTCCTCTCCACAGTAGCAGGCCCTTATCTGGCCCTTATCAGACTGTGGTTGTAATGACCTTGGGGGTGGTGAGGAAGGACAGTAGGACTGGAGTCCTCCCCGACAGGGACACAGTAACAGACATACATGAATAATCATGGTTAGGGGCCCTGTGCCTTATGTCAGCACAAGCTCAGACTACCTCAGCCTTTAGGCAGGAATCAGAGATGAATTATCATCTTCCTATCCTAACCAAACAAGGAAGCCGTAATGACCTTTGCGTTTTGCGAGAGTAGTTTTATTGTGCTGTGTAAAAACAAGATGACTCTTGTTGAGTTTAGCACTGACTTTGCTGATCTTTATTGAGGAAAAATGTACTTACTATGACTGATATGTGGTTGTCTCACCTAGCTATCTTCAGATGAATGCACTAACTGAAAGTCGCTCTGGATAAGAGCGTCTGCTAAATGACAATAACATTATCATTTTTTTAAAGGTTTGTTTTAAGATGCACTTAAATATTTCTGTCTTTCCCAGGTTATGCTGCCCAAAAGTTGTCTGAGTCCACGTGAGAAAGAGAAGGGCTAAAGCCACACCGCTCCCTAAACCTGTTAGCTCTCCAGACAGCTCCAGCACCCATTCCACAGAGGAGAGGAGCCATGAGCAACCCCAATGAACCCAGAAATATCACAGACGCCTTGGCGTCAGTCATCCACATCGTAAGTCCATTCATTCACACTGAGATACAGTTCAGTAAGTCAGCCCAATCAGGTCATCCTAACTAACGTTTGCGACACAATACAAACAAACAACAAACAAACAAACACAGACAACAAGAGACGTGTGATTGACAATCATTCACATCAGTAAGAAATTGCATGTCAACATACATTGATATATTATTGCTCCTGACTTATATTAATATGGTTAGTTTATGTTAATCTAATATTCTCATAAAACTGCAGTGGTTCTCTGCCAGAAAGGAGTTCATCTGATCTCTGATTGCCAAACGGCCTTGTTTCTTTGTACACGTGACACACATTCACTCTATGCTCGAGTTCTGCTTTGTCAGCCTCTCCAGTTCACTGTATTTTGGCATGGGAGTGTATTTTGGATTGTGCCGTTCCTCTCAGAGCAGGGTATGTACAAATCCATGCCCTCACTGGGATTGAATCCACAGACTCCAGACAGATTTAGGGATATTTTTATTAATTCTGACTTCTGAATTGAAACGTGAAGCGTAATTCAAACCATTTCCCTTGGGCCCCATTTGAGAAGTGCCTTGGCTTGGGGAATCAAGAATGTTGAAGGTTACACAAGCCAAGCAATTTCCTTCCACTTTTCTTAAGCCAGTGTCTATTTAGAAATGATTGTCTGTACTAGGACCAAAATATCTTGTTGTATTTCCAGGCCTTTCCAGTGCCCCGTTTGTTATGTGGGGCAGAATGGGCACTCCAACTAAACATATTGGCATCAGTACTGTTAGAAGCCCAGTGCTAAAGCATCTCTGTGGTTCAGCCTCAGAGCAGAGGCAAGCTGGCCTTGTCTAAGGTCAATGGTTAAAACGACATTCCAGCCTGGGGGCCTCTCAAAATAACATAATCTTAAGAGGATGAGTAAGTTACTTTGGGTAGCGTTGAGAGAGGCTGTGAAGGTCATTCAGAAAAAATTAAAAAAAGTTTTTGGCCAATCAATGAGGAACAAATACACATCCTCTTTATGGTTTCTTCAAATGATTAATTGAGATTGGATACAGAGTTTATAGCAGACCTTTAACCTTCTTTACACAATAAACAAAAATGAAATTAGCATTGTCTATGGTTGAGCGTCCATTTGTGACCCTCACAAACATACTCCCACGACCCTCTTAAGCATGCATGCACACATACAGTAGACTCAAACGCATGCACCACCACACACAGTGCGAAAGCGGTAGATGCTAAACTTAAGGAAATGCCTGCTTTCCCTGAGCTATGCATTTCTTTCAGTGCTCAGTCAGCTGCTTCCTATCCCATGTTACACAATCATGTGGCTGTGGCACTAGACAACCCCCAGGACTGGCCTCTTGGTAGGTGGACTCTCCAAGACATAAACAACTAAGAGTGAAAGGACTTATGCTCATGTCCAGAATACCTCCCTGTGTTAGAATGTAGCGGTAGTTCTGTCGTTGAAATGTAATGTCACTGCTACACGTGTCTGAGTTGTAGAGTGCAGAGGTGCAATGCAAAACATGTACATATAGTATGTTGTATGTACTGTAATGTGATGTGATATGGATGGTTATCCCAGTGGTGGTAATTGCTAATTATGGCCTACAGATTTAGCTACCATATGTCTGGTTAGAGTGACGTGTCTGCTGTTTTGTGACATTACACCAACCTTATTTAACCTTGGCAAATCTGGGTTCTCGAAACCTTTTCCTGTCCAAGGACAGACGGCTTGCTGATGGACGGCTTGAGGGCTGAGATTTGAATACAGTCTGCTGGTAATCAGATTCAGCCCATTACAGTCAGTTCAATCTAACTCGGTCAGACTGCTGGCAGCCATGAGGCGTCTTTATAATCTCTTACGGAGAATTCAGACGGTTGTCAATACATACCCAAGTTGCTATCCAATTGATGTGTTTACAACTTCATGGCTGCAGATGTCATTTTCTTGTGCATTTGCACAACGCTGATTAGTAAAATTGACAAAAGACATGTCTGTTTGCTACTTGACTGGAGCTGAAGCTGTCATTGGTAATTTTCCTCGCTTCCTTGCTCTTCTAAGTTAATAATTCACCTTTCAAACGATGAGTGTACATGCTTGTATGCAAGGGGAAAGAGAGTGTGTCTATGTGTCAGTGTACCATGTGTCTCAGTGTGTGTGTTTTAAGGATAGTTGAGATAATCCTATTTGGATTTTGGAAGGGTCGGTCAACATTGTGAAACTGGGGTGATGTCCTCTTCCTGCCGCTAGGCACTGCCCTTTGTCATGTGACTGGGGGCAATCGAAAGAGACAGTAGACAGAGGTTGAAAAGGTGCTTACTGTGTGCGGTAGTTCTTTTTACTTATCAAGCAGAAACTGCAAATACAGTCGCTAGAGATAATGCTGCGTGAGAAACGAGATTGGACTTTGATGGAGTTTTTGTACACAGCAGCAAAGGTGAGTTGAGTTTGAACACAGGGTAACATACAGGACTAGCCAGTTCAACATAATATAAGTCACATGGGCATTGATGCCCTTTAGAAGCGCCTCTCTCCATGTGTGTGGACATGAAGAGACTTATCATTTCCTGTTCTATGTCTACATACCACATGCAGTATATTGGTTTAAAACCCTGAACAATTTGAACCTACAGATGCCTTCATGCACAAATATAGTAAATACACCTGACTTGATGTTTTTGTAGTAAAAGTTTACACAATGGGGTTTGAAACTGAATACATTTCTCCTTCCTTTTTCCCCTGACAACATTTGTTGGTAATGTGTGCAACAAGTGAAACATTCCAAAGGCATCTGTGATGGTCTTGTTATTTTGTCAACAGCCCATTGACTGTTTGTGTGAGTATGTGAATGGAGGAAGACATTTCTTCTCATTGTTATCTTAATGCATCAGTGATTACTGATAGTTACCCCTCGACTGCCAACAGATGGAGCACGCTAGATATCTCAACAGGGGAATATGGTCAGTCAGTGTTCCTTGTAAAACTCCTGGCTCTGGCAGCCATTAGCTATGTGTGAATAGTGTTGCACAGCTAGAAGTGGCAAGGTATGCGTCCTTAATGGCGCCCTATTCCCTATATAGTGCACTACTATGCAGGGAATAGGGTGCTATTTGGGACACAGCCATGGTGTGAGAGGATTTATGCAATCAGCTACTGACCCCATTACAGAATAACTTTAGAGGAAGGTGTCTGGCATGACAAATCGCCAGCCTCTTTTGTTTGTTTGTCCCTCATAAAAGGATTAGAATTAAGAGTCCCCCGCACCCCAACCCCCTTCCTCCTCTTTAAGTCACAGTATGACAGTATCCAATGTCACTGGCTGTCATCACGCAAGCTCATGCAAGGGATATCACATTAATAATAATAGTTGTAATTTATATAGCACTTTTTATTACATGAAGAATCTCAAAGACGCTTAAATTTTTTTAGAAATAATTAAGTTAATTGATAGTTCATGGGCTGCATGGACAAAGATCTTCCACGGAGGCGGGCACAAGTCCGGATGATATCCAACTCGCACTAGGACTATCTCCGCTCCACTATCACTTAATCAGTGTGGGAAAGAAAGCTTTAGCATTTGTGGGCTACCCCTCAATAACATTTGATGCATGGCCACCCTCTGTTTTGTCAAGCTTACTTCCTGTCATTTCTCTGTGAACGTCAAGAACTAAGAATCAAGGTCAGTGGCTGAATATTATTAGGCGGACAATTGGGTTAATCAGACCTCAAAAGTGAAGGGAAGCGATTTTGAGGTACATGTTGGCCTGTTTCCTGGTGGTACCAATGGGGAGAAAGAGACCGTGGTCATATTTACACACAAGGCATTACCTTCAAAGACCTCTCCAACAAATGGGCATGACATATCCTCGTCTGGCCTGCTGCAGCAGGAATGCAGTGACTCAACAGACAGTATTACAAGATCACTTACTACTCTACATCCGCCACTGTATACCTGCCCTTCTGCCCTGAGTGTTGCTGACTGTGTGGGATTTCAGCCACCTCTCAGCTCCTCTAATCCTCTCTACAGACTCTGTGTAAGTGACTAGCTGAGTACTCATTACACTCACTTTACATGTAACAAACCTAGTGTACGTTAAACAGACAGTAGGGGTTATATTGCATTACTGAGATTAATATTTCAGTTTGCCTAATCTAATTTTATCCTCTGGTTTACTTTATAGGAGTACTGTAATTAGAAAGCTTCCTCTGCATCTCTTTTCACTTTCCACACGGCAGATTTGATTTATCTTCTTGTGTGTGATGGATGTTCATTTTGATAAAAGTTTTGTCTACCTACCTGGTTCCTAAGAAGGTCCTGAGCAGGCTGCCCCGAATCACCAGTACGACCAGAGTAAAGCTATGACAACTACTGGTCTGTGAGTGTTCATGGTACCTACAGAATCGTATCACCAACCTCTGTTTGTTACTCACTTCAGGGCATTGTGGAGGTCACTCTGCGATCAAAGTGTTCTACGAAGCCTCCACTTCCCCCTGTCCCCCGGCTAAGCTATGATAAGACCAAGGCAGAGCACACTGCATGTTCACATCTCCTCAGCTCATCTCCTATCTGAGCACTCGGTACCTTCAAATGCAATGACTCATGAGATACAGTTCTTGCTGGGTGCAGACCCAGAGGCCAATGCACTTTAATTTGACGATTTGAAGCCTTCCAAGGCCACACAACCATTGTGTGCCATTGTCCTCTAACAATCCATGCGGTCTGAACATATCCAATGTTTAACCCCAGAACATTAGCACTTAGTAATTAGTTATTAGTTACACCACAACGCCTCCACCAAGTACCATTTCAGGACATTCAGGTGTTCTATCCAATCTATTTGTGGACAAATGTAAATATGTGACTGCAAGTCGTGGAAAAGCCTCATTGCTTATTCAATGACCTACAGTTGAAGTCGGAAGTTTACATACACCTTAGCCAAATACATTTAAACTCAGTTTTTCACAATTCCTGACATTTAATCCTAGTAAACATTCCCTGTCTTAGGTCAGTTAGGATCACCACTTTATTTTAAGAATGTGAAATGTCAGAATAATAGTAGAGAGAATTATTTATTTCAGCTTTTATTTCTTTCAACACATTCCCATTGGAATTGTCAGAAGTTTACATACACTGAATTAGTATTTGGTAGCATTGCCTTTAAATTGTTTAACTTGGGTCAAACGTTTCGGGTAGCCTTCCACAAGCTTCCCACAATAAGTTGGGTGAATTTTGGCCCATTCCTCCTGACAGAGCTGGTGTAACTGAGTCAGGTTTGTAGGCCTCCTTGCTCGCACACGCCTTTTCAGTTCTGCCCACAAATGTTCTATAGGATTGAGGTCAGGGCTTTGTGATGGCCACTCCAATACCTTGACTTTGTTGTCCTTAAGCAATTTTGCCACAACTTTGGAAGTATGCTTGGGGTCATTGTCCATTTGGAAGACCCATTTGCGACCAAGCTTTTAACTTCCTGACTGATGTCTTGAGATGTTGCTTCAATATATCCACATCATTTTCCTTCCTCATGAAGCCATCGATTTTGTGAAGTGCACCAGTCCCTCCTGCAGCAAAGCACCCCCACAGCATGATGCTGCCACCCCCGTGCTTCACGGTTGGGATGGTGTTCTTCGGCTTGCAAGCATTCCCCTTTTTCCTCAAAATATAACGATGGTCATTATGGCCAAACAGTTCTATTTTTGTTTCATCAGACCAGAGGACATTTATCCAAAAAGTACGATCTTTGTCCCCATGTGCAGTTGCAAACCGTAGTCTGGCTTTTTTATGGTGGTTTTGGAGCAGTGGCTTCTTCCTTGCTGAGCGGCCTTTCAGGTTATGTCGATATAGGACTCGTTTTACTGTGGATATAGATACTTTTGTACCTGTTTCCTCCAGCATCTTCACACGGTCCTTTGCTGTTGTTCTGGGATTTATTTGCACTTTTCTCACCAAAGTACGTTCATCTCTAGGAGACCGAACGCGTCTCCTTCCTGAGCGATATGACGGCTGCGTGTTTATACTTGTGTACTATTGTTTGTACAGATGAACGTGTACCTTCAGGCATTTGGAAATTGCTCCCAAGGATGATCCAGACTTGTGGAGGTCTAAAATATATTTTCTGAGGTCTTGGCTGATTTCTTTTGATTTTCCCATGATGTCAAGCAAAGAGGCACTGAGTTTGAAGGTAGGCCTTGAAATACATCCACAGGTACACCTCCAATTGACTAAAATGATGTCAATTAGCCTATCAGAAGCTTCTAAAGCCATTCAAGCTGTTTAAAGGCACAGTCAACTTAGTGTATGTAAACTTCTGACCCACTGGAATTGTGATACAGTGAATTATAAGTGAAATACTCTGTCTGTAAACAATTGTTGGGAAAATTACTTGTGTCATGCACAAAGTAGATCTCCTAACCGACTGGCCAAAACTATAGTTTGTTAAAAATAAATTTGTGGAGTGGTTGAAAATCGAGATTTAATGAATCCAACCTAAGTGTACAGTGGGGAGAACAAGTATTTGATACACTGCCGATTTTGCAGGTTTTCCTACTTACAAAGCATGTAGAGGTCTGTAATTTGTATCATAGGTACACTTCAACTGTGAGAGACGGAATCTAAAACAAAAATCCAGAAAATCACATTGTATGATTTTTAAGTAATTAATTTGCATTTTATTGCATGACATAAGTATTTGATACATCAGAAAAGCAGAACTTAATATTTGGTACAGAAACCTTTGTTTGCAATTACAGAGATCATACGTTTCCTGTAGGTCTTGACCAGGTTTGCACACACTGCAGCAGGGATTTTGAGCCACTCCTCCATACAGACCTTCTCCAGATCCTTCAGGTTTCGGGGCTGTTGCTGGGCAATACGGACTTTCAGCTCCCTCCAAAGATTTTCCTATTGGGTTCAGGTCTGGAGACTGGCTAGGCCACTCCAGGACCTTGAGATGCTTCTTACGGAGCCACTCCTTAGTTGCCCTGGCTGTGTGTTTCGGGTCGTTGTCATGCTGGAAGACCCAGCCACGACCCATCTTCAATGCTCTTACTGAGGGAAGGAGGTTGTTGGCCAAGATCTCACGATACATGGCCCCATCCATCCTCCCCTCAATACGGTGCAGTCGTCCTGTCCCCTTTGCAGAAAAGCATCCCCAAAGAATGATGTTTCCACCTCCATGCTTCACGTTGGGATAGGTGTTCTTGGGGTTGTACTCATCCTTCTTCTTCCTCCAAACACGGCGAGTGGAGTTTAGACCAGAAAGCTCTATTTTTTGTCTCATCAGACCACATGACCTTCTCCCATTCCTCCTCTGGATCATCCAGATGGTCATTGGCAAACTTCAGACGGGCCTGGACATGCGCTGGCTTGAGCAGGGGGACCTTGCGTGTGCTGCAGGATTTTAATCCATGACGGCGTAGTGTGTTACTAATGGTTTTCTTTGAGACTGTGGTCCCAGCTCTCTTCAGGTCATTGACCAGGTCCTGCCGTGTAGTTCTGGGCTGATCCCTCACCTTCCTCATGATCATTGATGCCCCACGAGGTGAGATCTTGCATGGAGCCCCAGACAGAGGGTGATTGACCGTCATCTTGAACTTCTTCCATTTTCTAATAATTGCGCCAACAGTTGTTGCCTTCTCACCAAGCTGCTTGCCTATTGTCCTGTAGCCCATCCCAGCCTTGTGCAGGTCTACAATTTTATCCCTGATGTCCTTACACAGCTCTCTGGTCTTGGCCATTGTGGAGAGGTTGGAGTCTGTTTGATAGGGTGTGTGGACAGGTGTCTTTTATACAGGTAACGAGTTCAAACAAGTGCAGTTAATACAGGTAATGAGTGGAGAACAGCAGGGCTTCTTAAAGAAAAACTAACAGGTCTGTGAGAGACGGAATTCTTACTGGTTGGTAGGTGATCAAATACTTATGTCATGCAATAAAATGCAAATTAATACAATGTGATTTTCTGGATTTTTGTTTTAGATTCCGTCTCTCACAGTTGAAGTGTACCTATGATAAAAATTACAGACCTCTACATGCTTTGTAAGTAGGAAAACCTGCAAAATCGGCAGTGTATCAAATACTTGTTCTCCCCACTGTATATATATATATCTCATTGGAATAAACCTTGAAATTAGAAATCTATATAACACAATTTAATTTGAACCTCTCCTCCACTGACATATTTTAAAATATGTAGCAATATATAAAAACATGGATGATGAATAAAATAAATATGCTGAACTGGTTGGACCTTTCAGTCGGTATTCATCCCTAACGCCACAAAGTGCTCTGTTGGGTTATGACCCCTAACCCCTGACCCCTTCCGATGACATGATGTGCCCCCTATAATGGGTCTCCATTTCCTGCTGTGTGTCATCATGAGACCGCTTGTTTATTGTCATGAAAACGTTGAATCACTCATGGCATCCAATTGAACTCTGTCCAAGTGAATTTTGACCCCTACCTTTTTGATAAAAACATGTATTACTTGTTAGACAAAATCTCTTTCTCTGAGCAATTGTATTATACTGAACAAAAATATAAACGCAACATGCATCAATTTGAAAGGTTTTACGGAGTTACAGTTCATATAAGGAAATCAGTCAATTGAAATAAATTCATTAGGCCCTAATCTATGGATTTCACATGACTGGGAATACAGATATGCATCTGTTGGTCACAGATACCTTAAAAAAAATGGGCCTCACAAGGGGCCTCAGGATCTCGTCACGGTATCTCGGTATATTCAAATTTCCATCGATAAAATGCAATTGTGTTTGTTGTCCATAGCTTATACAGTGAGGGGAAAAAAGTATTTGATCCCCTGCTGATTTTGTACGTTTGCCCACTGACAAAGAAATGATCAGTCTATAATTTTAATGGTAGGTTTATTTGAACAGTGAGCGACAGAATAACAACAAAAAAATCCAGAAAAACGCATGTCAAAAATGTTATAAATTGATTAGCATTTGAATGAGGGAAATAAGTATTTGACCCCCTCTCAATCAGAAAAATGTCTGGCTCCCAGGTGTCTTTTTATACAGGTAACGAGCTGAGATTAGGAGCACACTCTTAAAGGGAGTGCTCCTAATCTCAGCTTGTTACCTGTATAAAAGACACCTGTCCACAGAAGCAATCAATCAATCAGATTCCAAAACTCTCCACCATGGCCAAGACCAAAGAGCTCTCCAAGGATGTCAGGGACAAGATTGTAGACCTACACAAGGCTGGAATGGGCTACAAGACCATCGCCAAGCAGCTTGGTGAGAAGGTGACAACAGTTGGTGTGATTATTCGCAAATGGAAGAAACACAAAAGAACTGTCAATCTCCCTCGGCCTGGGGCTCCATGCAAGATCTCACCTCGTGGAGTTGCAATGATCATGAGAACGGTGAGGAATCAGCCCAGAACTACACGGGAGGATCTTGTCAATGATCTCAAGGCAGCTGGGACCATAGTCACCAAGAAAACAATTGGTAACACACTATGCCGTGAAGGACTGAAATCCTGCAGCGCCCGCAAGGTCCCCCTGCTCAAGAAAGCACATATACATGCCCGTCTGAAGTTTGCCAATGAACATCTGAATGATTCAGAGGAGAACTGGGTGAAAGTGTTGTGGTCAGATGAGACCAAAATGGAGCTCTTCGGCATCAACTCAACTCGCCGTGTTTGGAGGAGGAGGAATGCTGCCTATGACCCCAAGAACACCATCCCCACCGTCAAACATGGAGGTGGAAACATTATGCTTTGGGGGTGTTTTTCTGCTAAGGGGACAGGACAACTTCACTGCATCAAAGGGACAATGGACGGGGCCATGTACCGTCAAATCTTGGGTGAGAACCTCCTTCCCTCAGCCAGGGCATTGAAAATGAGTCGTGGATGGGTATTCCAGCATGACAATGACCCAAAACACACGGCCAAGGCAACAAAGGAGTGGCTCAAGAAGAAGCACATTAAGGTCCTGGAGTGGCCTAGCCAGTCTCCAGACCTTAATCCCATAGAAAATCTGTGGAGGGAGCTGAAGGTTCGAGTTGCCAAACGTCAGCCTCGAAACCTTAATGACTTGGAGAAGATCTGCAAAGAGGAGTGGGACAAAATCCCTCCTGAGATGTGTGCAAACCTGGTGGCCAACTACAAGAAACGTCTGACCTCTGTGATTGCCAACAAGGGTTTTTCCACCAAGTACTAAGTCATGTTTTGCAGAGGGGTCAAATACTTATTTCCCTCATTAAAATGCAAATCAATGTATAACATTTTTGACATGCGTTTTTCTGGATTGTTTTGTTGTTATTCTGTCTCTCACTGTTCAAATAAACCTACCATTAAAATTATAGACTGATACTTTATACTAATTGACAAAAAACCTTAATTTTTTGACAGAATGTTTAAAAAAGGTATAATCTTCGTAAATGATATCATCGGTAGGACTGGTGGAGTTATGTCGCACATGCAGCTAACAAAAACATATGGAAATGTCTGCTCTACCCAAAATTACAACCAAATAATTGCAGCCTTACCGCAAAAGTGGAAGAGGAAAGTTGAAGGGGGAGAAAGTAAGGAACTTGTCTGTCGGCCTTGCATTAAAGAACATAATTGGTTAAGGAAAACTGTGATAAATAAAAAAGTATATCAGTTTCACTTAAGGACCAAAGGATTGACAGCAGTCCCATATAGATTGCAAAATAGTTGGGAAGAGATCTTTGACGTACCGATCCCATGGCATAGTGTTTATGAACTGACACGCAAAACGACACCGGATTCAAAAATTAGAATCTTTCAATTTAAATTATTATATAAAATTCTTGCTACCAATAGAATGTTATTTATATGGGGGATACAATCTTCCCAGCTCTGCAGATTTTGCTGTGAAGAGATAGAATCATTAGATCATTTGTTTTGGTTCTGTCCATTTGTAGCTTGTTTTTGGACACAGGTCCAGGAATGGCTAAAGGATTGCAATATTTACCTGGAACTAACCTTGCAGATAGCATTACTGGGTGATCTGAAAAGTCATAGTCAATCAATCAATAATATAATAATACTTTTAGCAAAAATGTTTATTTTTAATTCACAATCTGTAGAAGCAATGAGAATAGAAAGGTTCAGAACTTTTGTAAAACATCACAGTATGGTTGAAATATATATGGCAAATAGAAATCCTATATGGATGGTGTTAAGAGATAGATGGGAGGTATTGAATAGAGTTGAAGGATGGGACTAATAACAAATAACAACAAATAATAACAAAGATAGCTAATAATGTAAGCATACTGTGTCCATAATAAGTATATAGGTTGTATGTTGGGAGCTTTTGGGCAGAGCACAGTTAGAAGATATGGCATTTGAAGCAACCGATGGCATCATGAATGATCGGAGATTAGAGTAGAAGAAGTTCAGGAGCAAAAAATGAATTATAAACAATTTAATTATATATATATGTAGAGAATAGAATTTGTAAAATTAACTCGTCCATAATGTGTAGAAAGCATCTCTAGACCGGATATAGAGGCCGGGGGTTGTTGTCCTATTTACTCCAGTAGTGAAGGATGGTGGGTTGAAAAGTAAACAGGGTATATATATGTAAAAACTAAAATAAACAGGGGATTGGACTGTGCAGACAATTACATTGATAAAAGAGTTCAATCTATCTGCAATATTAAGCTGATCATCCCCCCGAGGAAAAAAAAAACAAACAAAAAAAAAAAATTTTTTATAGACTGATCATTTCTTTGTCAGTGGGCAAACGTACAAAACAGTATAGTGTACAAAACATTATGAACACCTGCTCTTTCCATGACAGACTGACCAGTTGAATCCAGGTGAACGCTAATATCCCTTATTAATGTTAAAAACACTTCAATCGGTGTAGATGAAGGGGAGGAGACAGGTTAAAGAAGGATTTTTAAGCCTTGTGACAATTGAGACATGGATTGTGTATGTGTGCCATTCAGAGAGTGAATGGGCAAGAAAAAATATTTAAGTGCCTTTGAACGGGGTATGGTAGTAGGTGCCAGGCGGACCAGTTTGTGTCAAGAACTGCAACGCTGCTGGGTTTTTCACGCTCAACAGTTTCCCGTGTGTTTCAAGAATGGTCCACCACCCAAAGGACATCCAGCCCCATCCCACTCCAAGGCCTCTGACAGAGATTTAGGGTCTAAAGTACCTTGGTCAATATTGACACGTACCAAAGTTAAAATGAGGGAGATGAATGCAAGGTATTGTTTGATGACTATTCAAACACAGCTTGCCCTTTCAGGTGCGGTTGGTTTGTCCTCAAAGCGAGAATGAATGCAGAGTCTTGTTTATTCTAACACAGCGCAATCATAAGAGATAGGTTATTGCCAGGCTGGGAGATATGAGTACGATTAGCACTCTCTGCTCATTCCTGTGTTTTATAGAGGTGTTGAGATTCAGAGCGCCACAGTGTCGCCATAGACGAGGGCATTGCCACTTGCTTCAAATGCCACTCCTGACTCCCAACACTCATACCTCAAGTCACCCTATTGAAACATGAGTCTGGTAAGTCCCTTAAATCACTGATGGAAGAGAAGGAGAGCATATTGTTTCTTTCTATTGCTGGTTCTTTTGCTGTAAGGGTTTGTTATTGCACACGTTTTTGGTTGTGGGAAATAGTTTCACCTCGCTGGCAATCCCTTACACATCTTCTCCAGCTGTAGAGATTGACTGTGAACTGCTGTGCATAGTAATAGGCTAAAAGCTGTCTTCACTGCTCCTGGAGTTCCTAGTGAGTGGGGATATGTTTTTCAGGTAGACTTGGCTGTCATTTTCTAACTGAACTTTCATGCTTTATTGAAAAATAGTATGTGGTTAAGATTGGCAGCACTACTCTTGAAGTGCCCATCGACTGGCATTCAGGTATTGATTGTATTGGAAAGGACTACAGACTATCACGATTTTAGATTGTAGCTTACAGGTCCAAAGACTGGAGACTGTCACAGAAAGCAACTCTCAAATGACTGGAAGCGTTTTTTTAACGGAGGTCACTGAGGTAAGGGTGAGGCCCATGCAGCCTACCTGAGCAGCTTCGTGTGGAGCTGTCTGACTCTCAACCTTTTGAAGGTTGAACAGAAGTTTCACGTTAGGTCAGTATTGATTATTTGTGGCACATATAGACATATATAGACACTGTCAGAGATTCATCAGCAAGGTTCTGTGTTTTATGCCTGTGTGTGGTATGTGTGGATTTGTAGGTCACACCATAACTCCATGACATGGTAGCCAGTGCAGTGAAGATAAGAGTTTTGTGCCTTGTGAAAATGTTTTCTTACTGTTGTTCCGTTTTCTAAATTTCTTCCCTATATTTTACACATGCAGCCCCATTGCTAAAAAAGAAAAAAAAAGTACAATTTTAAGGTAGAAAATCCACCATTATCAAGCTAAGAGTTATCCATACATTTTTATTGGTGTAATTTGGTGTAAGATGGAGGAGTATGAAAAAGCCCATTGTCCTCCAGTTCTACAGACTGATGGGGAGTGTGTGGTGGAATAATCATATCTCATCAGCCAATATTCTTTCCTCGGTCCCCCCGAGTGCAGGGGAGAATTTAATCTACCGATGACGTGTTAAATGGCCTGAGAAAGGGTTTGGAGGGGCGTCAAATGAGGCATGGTGCCGTGACTATTTGGCCAGTGTCACAGGAGGGGAGCGCGCTCAGTGAGGAGCCGCACGATCTGTACTGTAGCCACAGCAAAATCTACTTTGCCTTAGGGCTGGACAGAGGAGACGAGGATCCCCCACTTTGTTGGGATCAAGTTCACCTGTGGATCCACCTCTGCAGCCATCCTTATCACAACACGCCTCCGGCAGAGGAGGTCTGCAGCCCGATCTAGCACCCTGCTGCAGGGGAAAACAGATCACTTACCTCAAGGTTTCCCAGCCCTCTCCTCAGGGACCACCAGACGTTTCACATATTTGTTATAGCCCTGAACTGGCACACATGATTCAATTAGTCAAGGGTTTGATTATTATACTGAACAAAAATATAAACGCAACCATGTTTCATGAGCTGAAATAAAAGATCCCAAAAAATGTCCATACGCACAAAAAGCTTATTTCTCTCAAATGTTCTGCACAAATTTGTTAACATCCCTGTTAGTGAGCATTTCTCATTTGCCAAGATAATCCATCCACCTGACAGGTGTGGCATATCAAGAAGCTGATTAAACAGCATGATCATTACACAGGTGCACCTTGTTCTGGGGACAATAAAAGGCCCCTCTAAAATGTGCAGTTTTGTCACACAACACAATGCCACAGATGCCTCATGTTTTGAGGGAGCGTGCAATAGGCATGCTGACTGCAGGAATGTCCACCAGAGCTGTTTTGGAGAATTTGGCAGTACGTCCAGCCAGCCTCACAACCGCAGACCATGTGTAACCACGCCAGCCCAGGACCTCCACATCCGGCTTCTTCACCTGCAGGATCATCTGAGACCAGCCACACGGACAGCTGATGAAACTGTGGGTTTGCACAACCTAATAATTTCTGCACAAACTGTCAGAAACCGTCCCAGGGAAGCTCATCTGCGTGCTTGTCGTCCTAACCAGGGTCTTGACCTAACTGCAGTTTGGCGTTGTAACCGACATCAGTGGGCAAATGCTCACCTTTGATAGCCACTGGCACGCTGGAGAAGTGTGCTCTTCACGGATGAATCCCGGTTTCAACTGTACCGGGCAGATGGCAGACAGCGTGTATGGCGTTGTGTGGGTGAGCGGTTTGCTGATGTCAACGTTGTGAACCGAGTGCCCCATGGTGGCGGTGGGGTTATGGTATGGGCAGGCATAAGCTACGGACAACAAACACAATTGTATTTTATCGATGGCAATTTGAATGCACAGAGATACCGTGACGAGATCCTGAGGCCCATTGTCGTGCCATTCATACGTCGCCATCACCTCATGTTGCAGCATGATAATGCATGGCCCCATGTCGCAAGGATCTGCACACAATCCCAGGAAGCTGAAAATGTCCCAGTTCTTCCATGGCCTGCATACATGTCACCCATTGAGCATGTTTGGGATTGACGTGTACGACAGCGTGTTCCAGTTCCCGCCATTATCCAGCAACTTCACACAGCCATTGAAGAGGTCCTCTGTAGCTCAATTGGTAGAGCATGGCGCTTGTAACGCCAGGGTAGTGGGTTCAATCCCCGGGACCACCCATACGTAAAAATGTATGCGTATATGACTGTAAGTCGCTTTGGATAAAAGCGTCTGCTAAATGGCATATTATTATATTATTATTATTATTAAGAGGAGTGGGACAACATTCCACAGGCCACAATCAACAGCCTGATCAACTCTATGCGAAGGAGATGTGTCGCACTGCATGAGGCAATGGTCACACCAGATACTAACTGGTTTTCTGATCCACGCCCCTATTTGTTTTTTAAAGGTATCTGTGACTAACAAATGCATATCTATATTCCCAGTTGTGAAATCCATAGATTAGGGCCCAATTAATTTATTTTAATTGACTGATTTCCTTATATGAACTGTAACTCAGTAAAATCCTTGAAATTGTTGCATGTTGCGTTTTTATATTTTTGTTCATTGTAGTGTATCATTCGAGTCAGGACTTACCTCCCCGGGATGTCCACAGGAATGCCATCACACCACTCATCACTCACGACCATCCATAGCACCACCCTGTCCAAGTCATTGATCAGAGCTTGTGATTACTGTTTAATTTGAGGCTGTTGTAGTGTTCAGAGACCAAGCACAAGCCCTTGTCTTTTCAGTGGATTTCTTCTGTGGGATGACTAGCACTTCCTTTAGTCTCAGTTTGGTGTGAGCTGCATGGATTTGACATGGGGAATAGGGATGAACGAAGTAGGCGAACAACCTCTATAGAGCAAATCTGAATAAATGGATTGCCTAAAATGGACAATGGCCCAGTCCAGGAAAAAGGACCTTGGCAATTCATGTTGATCTGAAAGAATTGGATAAGTATTAGCAATATAGTAGTAGCTTTAACAGAACCTTTAGTAGACTTGATTACATTTTCACCATACTGATTACGTCTATCCAAACCGTTCAGATTTAAAGTGGGTCTAGGGGTTGTTTCTGAATGGGGCCTACAACATCATGGTTCTTTCTCAATTAGTATTTTATTGATTCCTTGCGTCCTTCTCAAAACCCATTGGAGAAGAAGGTTTGAGGGGAGGGATCTTCTCCAATACAGTTAAAAGGAGGCGAGGAATCACAGAAAGATGAATTGAGAAGTGAGCCAATATCATATCCCCTTTCCTTGTTTTCCATGACTGATCTGAATTGACCCTCTCCTCCCTCTCTTCCTCTCTCAGCCAGAGGCGCTGTCAGCCTCGTCCATGCGAGGAGCGGTTGAGGAGGATGAAAGGGACCTGAACAAATCCCTGGGGGTCCAGTTCTTTCAGCAGATCCTCAGCTCCGCCCCCAGGGTCCCCGACGAGCAGCACCGCACCTACAACGAGGAGGACTTTGAATGTAAGCACACGGACACGCACACACACACACACACACACTTGTTCACACAACATGCACATATGCGTAGGTGGTTCACATACTTTTGCAGAAATTGTGGAGCGGATTACCTTTATTTTTGGGAATCGTAAATATAAACCGTTGATTTACTAATCAAATAAGTCTCTCTCTGAAAACCACACAAAATGGTTGATCTGCTAACCATTTTCCTCCGGCAGACCACCGTCACTCCTCGCACCACATCCACCACCCCCTGTCCAAGCTTCCCTCTGAAGGGAGGAGGAAGAAGAGTGGCAAGAAGAAAAAAAAGGAAAAAGAGAGCAAGGACAGTTCCGGCCCAACCAGCAACACCACCATTGAGGAAGGAGAGGATGAGGAAGATGAGGAGGAAGAGGGTGGAGAGAGCCACACCCATCTCTCTGAGACAGATTGTGACACCGTCAAAGAAGATGTGCATGTAATGACACATCTTTCATGTTTTCAAATGCGCTTGAACATTCCCTTCAGTTGTCTGTCAGTTGTTGTTTTTTTATAACATGAATCAAAGGTGGCTTAGCGTAAGGCAGGGTTTCCCAAACTCGGTCTTGGGGCCCCCCCCGGTTGCACGTTTAGTTTTTTGCCCTAGCACTACACAGCTAATTCAATTAACCAACTCATCATCAAGCTTTGATTATTTGAATCAGCTGTGTAGTGCTAGGGCAAAAACCAAAACGTGCACACAGGTGGGGCCCCAGGACTCAGTTTGGGAAACCCTTGCGTAAGGCAATATGCATATCTTACACCACTGATACTGGGTCTGCGTCCCAAATGACACCCTATTCCCTATTTAGTGCACTACTTTTGACCAGGGCCCTGGTAAAAAAAATTAGTGCACTATATAGGGAATATGGTGACATTTGGGACACTGACATGTTTTTTTGCAGTGTGGCTGTGGTTCAACAGATCGAATCCCCCTGTCAGCATTATCATTTTTTCCTCTATGAATATTTAATAACAAGCTTAATCATTTATTTAACTGGTTTGGGGTTACACTGTTATAACACTGACAACTATTGTGTTCTGCCACACAACATGACCGGTTTTGACCTGTGATGGTGTGATATGCATACAACATTAGTTGTCCAAGCCGTCACCCCCAAGCTTTTCTCATATGAAGCTTTCTTTTATTCTAGAAATGTAAAAGAAATGCTGAAGAGTGTGATTTCTCACGAGAGATATGGTGTTTTGCGGGTACTATTTAATGAAGCTGCCAGTTGAGGACCTGTGAGGTGCCTGTTTCTCAAACTAGACACTCTAATATATTTGTCCCCTTGCTCAGTTGTGCACCGGGGCCTCCCACTCCTCTTTCTATTCTGGTTAGAGCCAGTTTGCGCTGTTCTGTAAAGGGAGTAGTACACAGTGTTTCTTGGCAATTTCTCGCATGGAATAGCCTTAATTTCTCAGAACAAGAATATACTGATGAGTTTCAGAAGAAAGTTATTTGTTTCTGGCCATTTTGAGCCTGTAATCGAACCCACAATTGCTGATGCTCCAGATACTCAACTAGTCCCAAGAAGGCCAGTTTTATTGCTTCTTTAATCAGCACAACAGTTTTCAGCTGTGCTAACATAATTGCAAAAGGGTTTTCTAATGATCAATTAGCCTTTTAAAATGATCAACTTGGATTAGCAAACACAACGTGCCATTGGAACACAGCACTGATGGTTGCTGATAATGGGCCTCTGTACGCCTATGTAGAATTTAGGGAATTAGTTGTACCAAATACAATGCTTTTAGTTTTAGATATGTTCAGGACTAGTTTATTACTAGCCACCCCATCCAAAACTGACTGCAGCTCTTTGTTTAGGGTTGCAATGATTTCACTAGCTGTGGTTGCTGACGGGTATAATGTTGACTCATCAGAGTACATAGACACACAGGCTTTGTTTAACGGTAGTGGTAGATCATTAGTAAGAATAGAGAACAGTAAAGGGCCAAGAGCCGCCTTGCAAAATACCACACTTTATGTGTAACATTAGAGAAGATTCCATTAAAGAAAACAGTCGGTGTTATGTTAGATAGATAGCTCTCAACCCATGATATGGCAGAGGATGTAAAGCCATAACACATAAATTTTTCCCAGATTATGGTCAATAATCTCAAAGGCTGCACTGAAGTCTAACAATAAAGATCCCACAATCTTATTATCAATTTATCATCAGTCCTTTGTGTCAGTGCAGTACATGTTGAGTGCCCTTCTCTATAAGCATGCTGAAAGTCTGTTGTTAATTTGTTCACAGAGAAATAGTATTGTACCTGGGCAAACAACCTTTTTCTAAAGGTTTGCTAAGAGCCGGCAGCAAGCTGATTGGTCGGCTGTTAGAACCATTAAAGGGCGCTTTACCATTCTTTGGTAACGGAATGACTTTAGGTTCCCTCCAGGTCTGAGGACAAACACTTTTCTCTAGGCTCAGATGAAAGATATGACAAACAGGACTGGCATTATAGTCCGCTACCATCCGCAGTAGCTTTCCATCTAAGTTGTCAATACCAGATGGTTTTTCATTATTGATTGACAACGATAATTTTTCCACCTCTCCAACACTAACTTTACAGAATTCAAAATTACAATGCTTTTCTTTCATTATTAGGTATTTTATGCATGAATATGATAGCTCGCAGTTTGTTGGCATTTAATGCCTGAGTTTGCCCACTTTGCCAATGAAATTGTCATAGGCAGGAAACACTCAAAACTTTACAAAAACAATAAACCCAGCTGTCTCGTTCAGCGTTCAGCATGCGTCGCTCCCTGATGACGACAGCATTTTGTACATTTTGTGAAAATCCCCCAAATCATGGTCTTTTTTTGTCTGGGTTTTGTGAGGAATCACTCTGAATGATTCATTTTCTACATTGTTTGTTTTTACCTTTACCATAAACCCTATTGCAGTTATTTTCAATACTATGTTCAATATACAGAACACTCATGTTCATGTCATGTGTGCCCTCTATCTCCCTCCATAGTTCTTTCTGTCAGATGAAGATTGCCTGGCCACACCTACCACAGACAGCCTCCACCCTGCCCGAGGGATGGAGGTTGTGCCTCAGTCTGGCGTGGGCACCGAACCTGAAGATGCCACCTCCACCGAGTGAGTACACCTCTCTGAATACACCCATATTTTTATTTCATTATTACCGTAATGATGTGATCGGGTGAGATCATTTTTGGCACTTGAAGTGTCACCCTGCTTTGCGTCACAACAACACAACAAGGACTCTTTTGTAGCACTTAGCCTGATACTGCTTGCTCTGAGGCTTTCTCAGTCACTGATTGGATGAGAGAGGTGGTGCGTATGTGTGGTGTGTGTGGTGTGTGTGTGTGTGTGTGTGTGTGTGTGTGTGTGTGTGTGTGTGTGTGTGGTCTCACCCGGGCCGGTCGGGACACACTGTACGTTACCATGTCCCAGGCATTCAGGCAGTCTGCAGGGTTCTGATCTAATAGGACCGATTCATCCCCTTGCAACAACACAGAGCCATATTTCACCTGTCTGACTGTCTCCATAGAGAACAGAACACGGACCCTTCCTACTAACACACCTCTCCGTCCCTCCACCAGTGGCATTTAGTCTCAGGACACATTAGTGATGTGTCTTGTCTGGGTTTGGGATATAGCCTTGTGGGCTACCTTTTTTTCTCCTTTCTCCAGTCTGCTGTAATTTCGCTCTGTGTGGACTTCCTCCTACTAGTACTACTAAAACAGCAATACTATATATTGGAAGGTAGAGGTTTCCAAATAAGTGGATTATTCTGACCGCAGAGGGAACTTCTGAATATAGTTGGGGAAAGTAATGTCCAAAATTTTCTGAAACAACCATAAACTGATTTGGAGACAGTTTGACATCTTTAGGTGAGTGTTTGTCGGTTCTGGGACTGCTGGATTGGTTAATTCTTAGTGGGCATCTTCACTCATTTTTAGGATGATTTAGTGCAACTGATTTTTTCTTCTCCTGTGAAATTGGCTTTCTGTATGTTTTATACTGGGTTTGTTCCAAGGAATGTTGAGGGAGACTAACAAACCATTCTCCTTTTTTATCTGTGAATTTTGTCATTTATTGGCCCCTAAATTAAAAAGTAGTTTGGTTGTTTAGCTCACTCCAGAGCCCTATACTACGAATCAGGGTTGAGGAGTTAGCGAGTTAACTTTGGTCAACTATGAGTTCAACTTGGGATAACCGGTACCACGAAAGTGGCGTACCTTTTAGCCAGGTAAATTTCTATGGCAGCATATCCTTCAGAACTAACCTGCTCCGGGGCAGGCTAATTCAGGGCTAACTCCATTTTATCCTGAATGAAGTGTCTGAGCCACGAGTTGAGGACCAATGAAAACCGATTCTCTCCCTCTCGCAAATTTTGTGTCATCATACCCTTCATTTGAGGAAGACTACTGATTTAAATATTGTATTAATCAAATGTATTTTTGTGTGTTAAAAAATACCTATCATATTAGGCGTACACATTTAGTAATGCTTTCTGAACTGTAAAGTTTTTCGCGCAATTGAATTTTGACATTTGCGAGCGGGCTAACTGACAGCCGCAACCAACCATAGACATACAGTATAATCCATAGATGGCAGTTCCCATTCAAGTCAATGACACTGACAAAGGCTTAGGCCAAAGCGTTTGTCTATATACCTACCATGAATGAAATAAATACTAAAAAGAAACCTTATCTCCTTTTTGAGTGCGGACCAGCTACACAATTTTGGAAGCCATTGCTAGTGTATCTATGAGTTTAATAGTCAAATTGCCAGGGTTCGAGGTTCCAAAACCCTAATGGGTTATGTCTATGGTCAAAATGCAACAAGCTATTCCACAGATATGAGTGGGAAAAAGGTGCTCTTGCATTGATAAGCACACGAAAGCACACCAAAGACTGAATTAATGATAAATCATAATTTAAAGACCTCACTTTTAAAGCCTATTTCACACCATAGCCTGCTGAATTTGCAAGATAACTTTTCTTGCATTTAGATTTTGGCACAAATGAAAATGTGGCACTGACTCGCCCATGGATTGATGTTTCAGCATTGTCTCAATGAAGAGTTCGGCATTACAAGCCTACTAGAGTTGGAGGGAGGCGGACTAGCAATATCCACCATCGTAGTACGGATGAAGCCTGACCTGGAATGTGAAGCTAACTGAAGCTGGCTAGCTTTATTAAAGCCTGAGTAGATCTAGCTTGCTTCTTATTATACCACTCAGGCTCACATCTAATATTTTGTTGACCTTAAAGTTCTTAACCCTGTTCTTTCTCTCTCTCCTCTCCCAGAAAGCCCTGTCTGACCTTGTCCAGCAGTGACCCGTCCGACCCCACCTCTCTGACCCGCGTAGCCAGCCGCAGCTACGACCTGCAGGAGCGCCGGCGCACGGGCAACATGACGGGCGCCGAGCAGGCCAAGTACCAGCGCATCCCCACGGATGAGAGCGAGGCGCAGACCCTGGCATCGGCCGACCTGGACGGCATTAAGAGTGAGTCTGGGGGAAGTATGGAAACATCACCTTAGACATTTCGGGCCGGTTTACAGATTAAGCTTAATCATGGACTAAAAAGCAAGATCAGTGAAGAATCTCCAATGAAAAGGCTTCTTAGTCCAGGATTAGGCTTAATCTGTGTCCGGGAAACAGCCCCTACATGTTCAGCCATTCATTTGTTGTCGACTGAACTGAAGCAATATTTTAGTGCTTACTTTATTGTATGTATCATTTAATTCAGTGCCAAGAAGACATGTGGGTTCTCTCTTTGTATAGACAGCATATTATGTTCAAACTTGTACTTGTACATTTACAGGCTGTTTTGTCCATTGGGAGATTTATTCAGAAGCCCAGTACTCTAAACTCTCCCTGACCTACTAATCTAAACTCTCCCAGACCTTGGAGTGCTGCAGTCATCTGCTCTGCCAGATTAACTTTTAAAGATGTATTAAAAAATTGGACTTCAATTGCTTAATGTCTTGCTCTTCGTGTGTGTGTGTATTTCTGTGTACGCCTGTGTGTGTGAGTGTGTGTTTGTGCGTGCAATTCAGCCTGTTTGATATCCCACATTATTATCCTTCCCGCTGAGCAATGTGATTAAAGTGGAAGAAGTCTTTGGCTCCACTGAAGGTCGGAATGCTCGGGGGGGGGGGGGGCACTATGAGTCAGTGTGCCCCCCGCCGTTGCCCTGTGACGTCCCCAGCTCCAGGGGCACCAGAGTTGATTTACATCAGGGGATCGACCCCTCAGCGGACAGCGGCAGCTTATCAGAGTGTGGCGGACAGGAACAGAACAGGAGCGAAGTCCTCTAATTAAATTAGCCTGTTCCCGCTGTCAGCTGAGGCCCCTGGAACCAGGCCTGAGCCAACCTGGTGGCTAATTGAGAAAGCTGCCCTTCTGGTTCACAACCCCTGAGTCATTAGTGCCAATTCTAACAATGGGGAAGAGCTAAGTCGTCTGAAAGAACAACATGAGAGGGAAGCTGATGGATGCATGGAATTTATCTGATGTAGGTGATGTAGGTCCAGTGCCAACATGGGGCTACGTGACATAGAGGGTGTGGCCATTGTGAGGGTCCCTGACAGCATCAGAGCATAGAGATCCTATTAAATTACTAGTCATAAACCCTTAAAGTTCCAGAGTGGTCCGAAAATGGCACCCATTGTGGTCAGGGAGAAATCCAAACCAGACTTATTTGAATGAATGGCAGTAGAGGCATACAGTGGGGAGAACAAGTATTTGATACACTGCCGATTTTGCAGGTTTTCCTACTTACAAAACATGTAGAGGTCTGTAATTTTTATCATAGGTACACTTCAACTGTGAGAGACGGAATCTAAAACAAAAATCCAGAAAATCACATTGTATGATTTTTAAGTAATTAATTTGCATTTTATTGCATGAAATAAGTATTTGATCACCTACCAACCAGTAAGAATTCCGGCTCTCACAGATCTGTTAGTTTTTCTTTAAGAAGCCCTCCTGTTCTCCACTCATTACCTGTATTAACTGCACCTGTTTGAACTCGTTACCTGTATAAAAGACACCTGTCCACACACTCAATCAAACAGACTCCAACCTCTCCACAATGGCCAAGACCAGAGAGCTGTGTAAGGACATCAATAATAAAATTGTAGACCTGCACAAGGCTGGGATGGGCTACAGGACAATAGGCAAGCAGCTTGGTGAGAAGGCAACAACTGTTGGCACAATTATTAGAAAATGGAAGAAGTTCAAGATGACGGTCAATCACCCTCGGTCTGGGTATCCATGCAAGATCTCACCTTGTGGGGCATCTATGATCATGAGGAAGGTGAGGGATCAGCCCAGAACTACACGGCAGGACCTGGTCAATGACCTGAAAAGAGCTGGGACAACAGTCTCAAAGAAAACCATTAGTAACACACTACGCCGTCATGGATTAAAATCCTGCAGCACACGCAAGGTCCCCCTGCTCAAGCCAGCGCATGTCCAGGCCCGTCTGAAGTTTGCCAATGACCATCTGGATGATCCAGAGGAGGAATGGGAGAAGGTAATGTGGTCTGATGAGACAAAAATATAGCTTTTTGGTCTAAACTCCACTCGCCGTGTTTGGAGGAAGAAGAAGGATGAGTGCAACCCCAAGAACACCATCCCAACCGTGAAGCATGGAGGTGAAAACATAATTCTTTGGGGATGCTTTTCTGCAAAGGGGACAGGACGACTGCACCGTATTGAGGGGAGGATGGATGGGGCCATGTATCGCGAGATCTTGGCCAACAACCTCCTTCCCTCAGTAAGAGCATTGAAGATGGGTCGTGGCTGGGTCTTCCAGCATGACAACGACCCGAAATACACAGCCAGGGCAACTAAGGAGTGGCTCCGTAAGAAGCATCTCAAGGTCCTGGAGTGGCCTAGCCAGTCTCCAGACCTGAACCCAATAGAAAATCTTTGGAGGGAGCTGAAAGTCCATATTGCCCAGCGACAGCCCCGAAACCTGAAGGATCTGGAGAAGGTCTGTATGGAGGAGTGGGCCAAAATCCCTGCTGCAGTGTGTGCAAACCTGGTCAAGACCTACAGGAAACGTATGATCTCTGTAATTGTAAACAAAGGTTTCTGTACCAAATATTAAGTTCTGCTTTTCTGATGTATCAAATACTTATGTCATGCAATAAAATGCAAATTAATTACTTAAAAATCATACAATGTGATTTTCTGGATTTTTGTTTTAGATTCCGTCTCTCACAGTTGAAGTGTACCTATGATAAAAATTACAGACCTCTACATGCTTTGTAAGTAGGAAAACCTGCAAAATCGGCATTGTATCAAATACTTGTTCTCCCCACTGTAGGTGATGCATTTATTTTGGTATTTTAATTCCTCATTCTATTATCTTTTATTTTCTTCCCAGAATTGCAAAGCAGCCTGGGTAAGTGCCTCTGCGGCTGGCTGCTGCTCAATGATTGGAATTATTAGATCACTGTCTCCTTCCCCTTTTGTTCAACCCTCCGGTTGTTAGCACCTCCGCTAGCTAATGCGCTCGGACGGTTTCTACCCCAACCAGGTCAGGTGGTGGTCAAGGAATGGCAACTTTTTCAGCTTTTCTTCGAGCTCCAGACCTGAACACGCAAGGACTGGATCTTGAGACGGTAGAGGTGACTGTTCCTCATGCCCATGCCAGCTTTATGCCAGCACCGCGCCCACCTCCAAGCTCCTCTCCTTCAAGAGTGTCATCCAGTCAGGCCCAGTCCCACTCTGGGGCTGCCCAGACACTCATGCAAGCACCTGGAGTCAGACACATCGTGGAGCCTCTATGGCGGACTAACGGTTCCAGTGGACATAGCCTTGAGGTCTGACAAGTTACAGCAACACCTTACAGCAAAACCTGGACAATGACCAAGAGGCTCAAATGACAGAAGATTATACTTCGTTGCTCTCCAGTTTCACTCGCTGAGTTTTCCAAAAAGGACCAACAGGACAACTCGTTCATTAGGAGAAATGCTGTCATTTTCCCACACCCCCAGAGTTGATGAAGGTGCTCAATGACCAGGGTGTTTCTCAAATAGGGAAAGAGCCCACTGACAAAGGTAAGATTCCTACCTCTAACAGGATCATCGCATCCGTTGCCCCTTCCCTCTGAGATGTATCCGAGAGTCTCTGTGCCATCCAGCCTCCTTGTCCAGGTTGTCCTTGGTTTGCGGCCAGTCTGGTAACCCAACCCCACAGCAAGGCCAGGTGAACAAAAGCAGCGGCCTGGCCTCTGTGAGTGTGCGACTCTGAGATTTGACCTGGTGGTGGGATGGTGGGGACGTCATCCCAGAGCCAAGAGCTCACCATTAGGAAGATCACTGTTTGGGAGAAAGCTACAATGCTGCAATGGATTGTTGACCACTGTTAGATGTTTAGGCAGTGTTTGGGATCACAATCACCACCACATTCATATTCAAAACAGTAGATAAGGGGGTGTCAATACATGATAGATCAATATATAGTGACAATCATGAACCTCTATTGCGATGCCTGTCCATAGATGGTGATGATTTTGCACTCACCTCTCCCCTCTCACACCTTTCACTCCTCAGGCCATCGCTTTGAGGATGTCCCTGGGGTACGGAGACACCTGGTCAGAAAGACCACCAAGGGCCAAGTGGTGCATGTCGGCAAGGACCACCAGGAGACCAGCATACGCAGCCAAAAAAAGGACCGGACCCCACATGAGGTGAGTGTACGAAAAAACTAGCAGTAGTACCCACTCCTTTGCTTGTGTTGGGAAACAGTGTCACATAGTCCCTTGTTTTAGATGATATGATTGGGTTTTATTCATTAGAGGTTTTCATGTATTTCCTGATGTTTTTGGCAAGGATTAAGGTTTGAAAGTAGATGTTGCTGCTTGTTTTAAGAAATTCCATGCAGGACACATGTAGGTGAAGTTTCTCTTGGGAGACCAGTTTCTATGTTTTGCTCAGTTTAGACAAAGGTAAATATGGTTAATTGTTTTCTTGAAACTCCCCCCAATTGTTTTTATTACAACTGGGAAACAGGAAAATCCAGCAACATTCTCTGTCTGGGCGCAGCCCAACTACAGTATCTTTATGTGGATGGGAGAGGGGGCAGAACACAATTAAAAATGAATGAATTAGTTATTTCCTTTCACACACCCAAAAGAAAGGGGCAGCGAAGAGTTCAGGTAACAAGACACCCGGTGCTCCCTGAGAGAGGGAGCCATGATTTATTAACACACACACACAGGCCCCCAACAACAGGTTCTCTCAGGGTAGAGAGTGTGTACGAGCTACAGAGTGTGTGTGTGTGTGTGTGTGTGGAGAGATGTAAGGGTCGCCTGCTCTGTGTGCGGGTCTGTGTCAGTCGTCAGTGTGTTGAGCCCACCCTCTCGCTCCCTCCAGTCGTTACCGCCAGTGGTTCTGTACCGTTCTGCCTCCCGGCCAGACGGCATGGTCCTATTGGACTACGGCCATATGACCCGGCCCCAGAAGGTGAGGCGGCTTAGCCGGCCAAACACAGGTTCCAGGAGTGTGGGTTTGCACATGAGGGTAGGTACAGTATGGTTACTCGCTAATCATTAGTTATGTTGTTGGCTTGGCATTAAAACAGGTAGTGGTGGGTTGGGTATCACTAACTCACCATCATAGTTTCTCTTTAACCAGCCTGTTGTGACGTGATAAGGCTGTAATGGTGTGATACTGTATTTCTACTCATCAGAGTCTCTACTATTTCTACTGTATTTCTACTCATCACAGTTTGTGGATGTTCGGGAAGAACTTAATCTCAACGGAGTGTCTGTTGTGCTCATTCAAATGGTTTTGACTGAAATAATGTTGCATTTGCTAGTTGCTTAGGCTATTTGCTGTCCACTGCCTATATTTGTGAAGTGTATTGACAATGAGGATAATTTCATTGCATATGTTGGGTGTTCCTAATATAACCGAGTAACACTGTTGAGTGTGTTTCTGTTTGACGTCAACATGCACCGTATACCTGGGTTCAAATACTATTTAAAATCTTTAAAATACTTTGAGCGTTTGGTCTAGCCTGCCTGGAATGCCAGATGGACTGGGTTTGCAGTTTTGGGACTATTTTATTGGTCCATTAAGCCAGGCAAGCTCAATCAACCACAAATAAAGTATTTGAAATTATTTCAAATAGTATTTGAACCCAGGTCTGATGCAGCTTGCATGGTTTTCAGAAGTCAATAGGTTCAAGGCCCAGTGCCAATGACTTTCACACTTGACATTTTGAAGAGTGAAACTAGATAAACACTTACATATGTACATATAGTTATCTGGATGTGCTTTCCCTTCCTTATAATGTTGACTGTCTTTAAAGAAAGCATGATCCTGAGAAGAGCTAGCGTTAATTCTATAATAACATCTGGACAATATGGACAAAACAAATCAAAGCAGATTGGTTAGTGCTATCCGGGATCCTTGGGACTTCCCTACCCTAAATCATATCCCCTACCCTACCCTACCCTTCCCTAACCTTAACCAGAACCCTTGCCTAACTTTAACCCTAACCTTAACCATTTTACATTTCAACTTCAACTGGGTAGGGCCATCCGAAGGATCCCAGATAGCAAGGACTGAAGCAGATCTAGCCACATTTAAGCATATTGAAAACAATTTCCCCTTATAGTTCAGCTATTCGGATCCTCACTGAATCTAATCAAATTTGCTCAATGATAACTTGGTTTGAAGTGTTTTGAAGGAGACGCTGGTTTGAACATTTCAGACTCCTGGATGTGCATGGGTATCTACACAGAACATGCTAATATCAGGGATATTGACTTGTATTGGTTTTTGGACAAACATGCTAAAAAGTTAGCAATTGGAGACAGTGGCCACTGGCCAGGTAAACAAAAGCATGGATTACTGTCTTACCTTGTACACAGACTGCTTACAGGGTAAGGAAACCAATATGTCATTTGGGTGAACTGTCACTTTAACGTCCATCTCTCCCTGTCAGGTGTTTGTGGAGCTGAACGAGCTGATCATGGATAAGAACCAGGAAATGCAGTGGCGGGAAACGGCCCGTTGGATCAAGTTTGAGGAGGACGTGGAAGAGGAGACGGATCGATGGGGTAAACCCCACGTGGCCTCGCTCTCCTTCCGCAGCCTGCTGGAGCTCCGCAAGACCATCTCCCACGGTAGGAGAGAAAGATAGGAGAGAGAGGAGAGAGAGGAGAGAAAGAGAGGAGAGGGAGAGAGGAGAGGGAGAGAAAGAGAGGAGAGGGAGAGAAAGAGAGGAGAGGAGAGGGAGAGAAAGAGAGGAGAGGGAGATGGAGAGGAGAGGGAGATAAAGAGAGGAGGGAAAGAGAAGAGAGGAGGGAAAGAGAAGAGAGAAAGAGGGAGAGAAAAAGAGAGGGAGAGAAAGAGAGGAGAGTGAGGGAAGGAGTGAAAGAGAGGAGAGTGAGGGAAGGAGCGAGAAAGAGCGAGTGGGTGGGTGTCTGTGTGTGTGTGTGTGTGTGTGTGTGTGTACATCTGTGTGTGCCCTCCCTGCTGTGACCCTAGTGTGCCGTGTCTCCTCTGCCACCCAGGGGCGGTGTTATTGGACCTGGACCAGAAGACTCTGCCTGGCATCGCCCACCAGGTGGTGGAGCAGATGATCATCTCAGACCAGATTAAGGCAGAGGACCGCGCAAACGTGCTCCGAGCCCTGCTTCTCAAACATAGGTACAGGACCACCACTACACCTAAAAATCGTCTAGGACAGCTTAGTGAAAAAGACACTCCCATTAATTGTGTGGACATTACTGTATTTATACTCTGGCTATTGTTTTTCAACAGGATACATTAAAAAAAATAGCTGGAGTTCATCTAACATTCTGATCTCATAGATGAAATGGCATTATTCAGAATGCCAATTCACACTGATGAACTTTCCATGTCTCGGCCTGTCCCCCTGGTCCCGCCTGCCGCCTGCTTGCTTGGTAGGTCGCACCTCGCCCTCTCTCATGCTATGTATCTCCTGCTCAACCTCTGTGTGCCTTTCCCTCCCTCCCCCCACAGTCACCCGAGTGACGAGAAGGAGCACAGCCACAACCCCTTCCCCAGGAACATCTCTGCGGCCAGCCTGGGCAGCCTGCTGCCCCACCACCACAGCTCCAACCACATCCAACAGCCAGAGCCCTCCGTCACAGACCCCCTCATGGGCTCGGCCTGCTCGGGGGAACAGGAGACACGCATTGACATGGAGAAGAACGACCTGCAGGTAGCTACAGCTCAGGGTTGATACTATGTGGTTTACTGTGGCGAATGTAGGTTGGATAACTTATTTGACTGACAGAGAGAGCAGGCAATAGCATGGTGGTGTAGAAATATTTATTTGGGTAGAATGTCTCTTCTAGCAGTATATGGTTGAGTCCCTTTTTAATGGTTAAGGTCTCCCATTGGTCAGCTAGACAGAGACCTGCGTTAACTATATTCTGATTGGTGTTCTGCAACAGAAGGAGTCGACTCCAAATATTGGCATGCACAGATCCAAGTCCAAGCATGAGCTCAAGCTGCTGGAGAAGATTCCAGAGAACGCTGAGGCCACTGTTGTCCTTGTGGGTGAGTTGAATTGTGTTGAATTCTTTCAAGTAGGTACCATAAGGTACCCAACTGTTAACCGAAAACGTATCAGTAAATACAGGCTGAAACAGGAGTGTAAAATATAGCAGTTTCCCAGCCTCTGACACTCTGTCCTCCCCGTTCCTCTTTCCAGGCAGTGTGGACTTCCTGGAGCAGCCCACCATGGCGTTTGTCCGGCTGCAGGAGGCGCAGGAGCTGGACTCTGTCCTGGAGGTCCCCGTGCCCGTCAGGTTCATCTTCGTCCTGCTGGGACCTCCCAGCACCAACATGGACTACCACCAGATCGGACGCTCCATCTCCACACTCATGTCTGACAAGGTCAGTGTGGGGCCAATTAGAGCAGACCAAGACAATGGATATAGTTCAATAGTAATTTCACTGTTTTCAGTTTCCATTCCGTTTCCATTCATGTTTTCATTTGATTTAACTGTTGTTACCTCTGAAACATCACACAGGATGATGAGTGTAAATCCTAAATGTCGTGTGTTTCCCTCCCCTCCAGCACTTCCATGAGTCGGCCTACCTGGCGGACGACCGTCAGGACCTGCTCAACGCCATCAACAGCTTCCTGGACTGCAGCATCGTGCTGCCCCCCTCGGAGATGGGTGGTGAGGAGCTGCTGCACTCTGTCTCTCGCTTCCAGAAGGAGATGCTCCGCAAGAGGGAGGAGCAAGGAGCCCTGCTGGCCAAGGAGCCCAAAAGCCAGGAAGAGAAAGGTGGGGTAATTCCAACATTTTGTTCACAGAGAAATGATGTCCTAGCAACTTTCCCAGCTCCTCAGACCGTTACCTGGATGTTAATGTTTTAAAAGTTTCCTTTTTTTTTAATGCAAAAATGTTTCCAAAGAAACTTCATTTTTCTAGTGCCATATTTGAAATTGATGTCCATGTGACACGGTCTGTGTTCATGTCTTCCAGAGGCCCTTCTATCGCCCGGGAAAGCTGGGAGACGACCCCCTGCAGCGTACGGGACGCCCCTTCGGCGGCCTGATCCGGGACGTGAAGCGCCGCTACCCAAAGTACGTGAGCGACTTCAAGGACGCGCTGAACGCCCAGTGCGCGGCGGCCGTCATCTTCATCTACTTCGCTGCCCTCTCCCCCGCCATCACCTTCGGAGGCCTCCTGGGTGAGTCCGAGAGGTTAAAGATGGCTAGCAAATTATGGCACATTAACAGAAATGTTGATGAACGTAAATTAATAAATTAAGGGAAAGAATGGGGAACAATGAACAGGATGGAAAACTAACCACACCACAAATCCACCCAATACCCATCTACCGCTATCAACACACAACCAGACACTTAGCATGTGTTTAAATCAGGCATTGGAGGTGTATTGAATGTTATTTACTAATGTTTTTAAATAACGTTCTTAGGTGGTTTTCTGAATGTTGTTTGTGCGGTTTCTTGACTGTGTGCCTTGTGGTAGGTGAGAAGACTGAGGGTCTGATCGGTGTGTCTGAGCTGATCGTGGCCACAGCGGTGCAGGGCATTCTCTTCTGCGTCTTGGGGGCCCAGCCGCTCCTGGTGGTGGGCTTTTCTGGACCCCTGCTCGTCTTTGAAGAGGCCTTCTACTCTGTGAGTTACCTCAAACTGGATTCAGAGATGACATTCTTGACTACTGCATAAGAATCCCTTTTGTATTTTCCTTCCATTGATGGTGTGTATAACAGAATCATGTAACAAACCTTCCATCAGTGTCATAACTTGTCACACCCTCTACTACTCTAGTTGCTTGTGTCCTAACCTCTCTCTCTCTCTTCTCCTCTCTTTTCTCTCTCTCTCTAGTTCTGTAAGGGGAACGGGGTGGAATACCTGACGGGCCGGGTGTGGATCGGCTTCTGGCTCATCATCATCGTGGTGATGACGGTGGCCTTGGAGGGCAGTTTCCTGGTTCGCTTTGTCTCACGCTTCACCCAAGAGATCTTCTCCTTCCTCATCTCACTCATCTTCATCTTCGAGACCTTCTCCAAGATAGGCAAGGTACTGTAAACCTGGCGCTCAGTTGACTATAGTATTGAAACTGATAGAAACGATTTAGTGCCCTTCTATGTGCTAAAAGCACTTGACATTGTAGAAAGGGGATCAAATCTGACTCTAGATTGGACTGTGCTCACAACATGGGGTCGAAATAATACGTTGCATAATATGATGCAAAATGCATCCTACTGTGACACATTCTGTATTTTTTCAGTTCTATATCTTGAAAACTTGATTGTTGACATACAAAACACTTTGGGACTGTATCGACAGTGGACTAATGAAACAAATACCAAAAGATAGTTTTTGAGTGGTATTTTCTTTTAACAGGTACATATTTTGTGATTGAGTGGCCCTGATCCGAGAACAAAGTGAAAGGGACAGAAAGCCGACTATAATCCGGCTTTATGATTTCTGGAATGTTACTATTTTTAGACATTTGCCAACACAAGATTTAGAAGGGATTATTTGTGTATGAATTAATCTCCATTCCCAGAACGTGTTTGCGGGGACTTTAAAGGTATGATGTGGGTGGGGGGGGGGGGGGGTCAGTGAAGCGGTGCTTTAATGCAAACCTTTTTCTGTGTCGCCGGGCAGACTTTCGTGGATCACCCGCTGCAGCGCTGTTACCTTGACAACAGCACTGCGGAGAACACCACGATGGAGAATAGCCCCCTGGAGCTGTTGCTTGGCAACGGCACCATTTCGGTGGTGCCGGTGAAGGTCCGGAGGGAACCCAACACAGCACTGCTCTCCCTGGTGCTCATGTCTGGAACCTTCTTTATTGCATTCTACCTGCGCAAGTTCAAAAACAGTGCCTTCTTCCCTGGCAAGGTAAGATACACTTAATGAGGAGAAGGAGTGCAGTATCATTATCAGGATGTATGTCAATTAAATAGAAACTTAATAAGACTATACATAATTATTTGGAAGTTTATTGTAGAACCACAGAACTAGTGTCCCTTCATGGGCTGTGTTATGAATTGCCTACACGTAACTGTTTTTGTTGTTGTTCAGCTCCGTAGGATCATTGGAGATTTCGGGGTCCCCATAGCCATCCTCATCATGGTCCTAGTGGACTACAGTATAAGTGACACTTACACACAGGTGAGCAGTACTGCAATGAAAAGAACTCCAACATTCATTTGTTCATTGAATTGTCTCGATTAAGCTTAACTTCTGTCTTACTGAGAAATTATATAGAACCAGTTTCTTTGAAGACAAATTACGTAATGTCATTACCCTCTATAACACATGTCACTTTCTCCCTGACCTTGTGTAGAAACTGAGCGTGCCCAGTGGCTTCTCTGTGACCAGTCCTGAGAAGCGTGGCTGGGTGATCAACCCCCTGGGCATGGACACCCCGTTCCCCATCTGGATGATGTTCGGCAGCGTACTGCCCGCCCTGCTGGTCTTCATTCTCATCTTCATGGAGACACAGATCACCACGTGAGTCACACTGTCACACACACCTCCCTCCCATCACCCAGGGTCTTCTTTCCCCAGATATTAAAATGCATGGTGTGAATAGACGGTATAAACACAGTGCGGTGAGGACATGCATGGAAGACATTACAGTTGTTGTATTATATATCATAGTATATTTATCAGATGTCATGTTGATTGACTAATGTCGATTTATGCATGTCGACTCCTTCTCAACCATCTGCCCTTTATGGGTCCTCCCCTCCTTCTCTTCCTCTTTCCCCCTCACTCCCTCCCTCCCCAGGCTGATAGTGAGTAAGAAGGAGCGGATGCTGGTGAAGGGTTCTGGCTTCCACCTGGACCTGCTGGTGATCGTGGTGTTGGGCGGCACCTCGGCCCTGTTCGGCCTGCCCTGGATGGCTGCTGCCACCGTGCGCTCCGTCACACACGCCAACGCCCTCACCGTCATGAGCAAGGCGGTCGCCCCAGGTGACAAGCCCCGCATCCAGGAGGTCAAGGAGCAGCGGGTCACAGGGTTGCTGGTGGCCATCTTAGTAGGTGAGTGTCTGTTGACTAGATGTAGAATAGACTAGAATGGAAGATGTTTAGTGCTTCTCAAAAGTTTAACGTAGCTTCCTCCCATTGACTCCTCCCTTTCTTCTCTAGTGATCTGAAAACACAGGACAAAAACAAAATATACAAGCAAAATATCTGTGACTTTGCTTCTGGTGACTTGGCTTTTCCCTTTCTAGTTATTTCACATCAGACTACTAGAAGAGGCAACTGTAGTAGAGTATTGAGATGCAATCGTGTTTTCAGTCATTTCTCTAAACTCTTCCTCCCTCGTCCTCTAGGCCTTTCCATCGTGATCGGAGACCTCTTGCGTCAGATCCCCATCGCTGTGCTGTTTGGCATCTTCCTCTATATGGGCGTGATGTCACTCAACGGCATCCAGTTCACAGAGCGCCTGATGCTACTGCTGATGCCCCCCAAGTACCACCCAGACCACACCTACGTCCGCAAGGTGACCATGGCACACAGTCACAGAGAGAAACATAGAGCAGTGGCTCTTGGTCCGTATGCATTATGATCTGAAAGGCAAAACTGATTCTAGTTCAGCACCTCTACTGTGAGACACTTGCTGGTTCCCAAAAACGTTTTGGCCCTGATCCACCTAATAGATAGTCTGCCTGATACCAAACTCAAAGTCCTCCTGACTTCAGAATCTGGAGAAGCTGATCGATGTTGTAGGCATGATGCGTTGATAATGAAGGGGGGTGTGCATTTTTACTTGTTGGTTCTCCTCTGTGTTTTTCTCACTCAAACACATACAGCCCCTGAGCATCACCCCTTTCCGTTACAGCTCAGTGGGTCAGCTGTCCTTCACTGTGTACCACGAGGGTTGCGTCAGCCATGCTACCGAAGAGAGCCTTTCCTGTATAATCCAGTATATAAACCCATAGAAGCTATTTCCCCCAATGGGATACCAGACTGTGTATACATACTGTATGTGTTATACCGTATCATATACATGATGTTATTGTCTCATTTCGTGTGTATTACGGTAATCCACTACATTAACCTATAGTCACTGTGTCCCCCAGGTGAAAACGCTGCGAATGCACCTGTACACGCTGATCCAGCTGGTGTGTCTGGCAGCGCTGTGGGCCGTGATGTCCACCGCGGCCTCGCTGGCCTTCCCCTTCGTTCTCATCCTCACCGTCCCAGTCAAGATGTTTCTGCTGTCGCGCATCTTCACCACCCGAGAGATGCAGTGTGTAAGTTAGCCCACACGGGGGCGCACTAGGCCCATTCACTAGCATTCACCCTATGGAGCCTGGTCAAAAGTAGTGCACTATATAGGGAATAGGCTGCCATTTGAGGCGCATATACTGTCTAAACTCTGAGGACATTTGAGGAGAGGGCCTTATGGCACATTAGATTAAATGCATAGGGAGTTTTTACTTGAGGCTGTCTGTTCTGCTTGTTCTTCAGTGGGTTTAGTCGTGGCTTGGCGAAATTGACTTTCTATCCTGTACAAAGTGCTGATTGAAGAAATATTTACAATATATCTACTTAATTAAAATCAATCAATCAATCTTAATCAACAGTGTAGCTACTGCCTTGCTCTAACTGTCTGCTCTCTTCTCTCCCAGCTGGATTCTGATGACGCAGAGCCCATCTTTGATGAGAGAGAGGTCCATGACGAATACTCAGAGATGCACATGCCTGTGTGACCCACACCATCATATACCTACCTACCGCTGGATTCCTCCCTCAGTGGCCAAACCAACCTGCCAATCACTCTACCAACTAATGAGAAGCCTGTCCAAGGGATCCACCAGCAAAACCCTATATACCTAAATGATAGACCCTCAGACTATCATTGAGCTCTGTTGGTCCTGGCTTCCATTGGTTTAACCACACCTGACCAAAGGGTAAAGATGTCGTATGCAGGTTCCCTTTAATCTCATTCACTTGGACAGAGTTCAATTGGATGCCATGAGTGATTCAACGTTTTCATGACAATAAACAAGCGGTCTCATGATGACACACAGCAGGAAATGGAGACCCATTATAGGGGGCACATCATGTCATCGGAAGGGGTCAGGGGTTAGGGGTCATAACCCAACAGAGCACTTTGTGGCGTTAGGGATGAATACCGACTGAAAGGTCCAACCAGTTCAGCATATTTATTTTATTCATCATCCATGTTTTTATATATTGCTACATATTTTAAAATATGTCATTGGAGGAGAGGTTCAAATTAAATTGTGTTATATAGATTTCTAATTTCAAGGTTTATTCCAATGAGATATATATATACAGTGGGGAGAACAAGTATTTGATACACTGCCGATTTTGCAGGTTTTCCTACTAAAAAAATCCAGAAAATCACATTGTATGATTTTTAAGTAATTAATTTGCATTTTATTGCATGAAATAAGTATTTGATCACCTACCAACCAGTAAGAATTCCGGCTCTCACAGACCTGTTCGTTTTTCTTTAAGAAGCCCTCCTGTTCTCCACTCATTACCTGTATTAACTGCACCTGTTTGAACTCGTTACCTGTATAAAAGACACCTGTCCACACACTCAATCAAACAGACTCCAACCTCCACAATGGCCAAGACCAGAGAGTTGTGTAAGGACATCAGGGATAAAATTGTAGACCTGCACAAGGCTGGGATGGGCTACAGGACAATAGGCAAGCAGCTTGGTGAGAAGGCAACAACTGTTGGCGCAATTATTAGAAAATGGAAGAAGTTCAAGATGACGGTCAATCACCCTCGGTCTGGGGCTCCATGCAATATCTCACCTCGTGGGGCATCAATGATCATGAGGAAGGTGAGGGATCAGCCCAGAACTACACGGCAGGACCTGGTCAATGACCTGAAGAGAGCTGGGACCACAGTCTCAAAGAAAACCATTAGTAACACACTACGCCGTCATGGATTAAAATCCTGCAGCGCACGCAAGGTCCCCCTGCTCAAGCCAGCGCATGTCCAGGCCCGTCTGAAGTTTGCCAATGACCATCTGGATGATCCAGAGGAGGAATGGGAGAAGGTCATGTGGTCTGATGAGACAAAAATAGAGATATTTGGTCTAAACTCCACTCGCCGTGTTTGGAAGAAGAAGAAGGATGAGTACAACCCAAGAACACCATCCCAACCGTGAAGCATGGAGGTGGAAACATCATTCTTTGGGGATGCTTTTCTGCAAAGGGGACAGGACGACTGCACCGTATTGAGGGGAGGATGGATGGGGCCATGTATCGCGAGATCTTGGCCAACAACCTCCTTCCCTCAGTAAGAGCATTGAAGATGGGTCGTGGCTGGGTCTTCCAGCATGACAACGACCCGAAACACACAGCCAGGGCAACTAAGGAGTGGCTCCGTAAGAAGCATCTCAAGGTCCTGGAGTGGCCTAGCCAGTCTCCAGACCTGAACCCAATAGAAAATCTTTGGAGGGAGCTGAAAGTCCGTATTGCCCAGCGAAAGCCCCGAAACCTGAAGCATCTGGAGAAGGTCTGTATGGAGGAGTGGGCCAATATCCCTGCTGCAGTGTGTGCAAACCTGGTCAAGACCTACAGGAAACGTATGATCTCTGTAATTGCAAACAAAGGTTTCTGTACCAAATATTAAGTTCTGCTTTTCTGATGTATCAAATACTTATGTCATGCAATAAAATGCAAATTAATTACTTCAAAATCATACAATGTGATTTTCTGGATTTCTGTTTTAGATTCCGTCTCTCACAGTTGAAGTGTACCTATGATAAAAATTACAGACCTCTACATGCTTTGTAAGTAGGAAAACCTGCAAAATCGGCAGTGTATTAAATACTTGTTCTCTCCACTGTGTGTGTATATATATATATATATATATATATATATATATATATACACATACACATACAGGTGCAGCTCAATAAATTAGAATATTGTGGAAAAGTTAAGTAATTTCAATAATTCAATTGACAAAGTGAAACTCATATATATCGTGGATTAATTCCACAAAAAGTGAAATAGTTCAAGCCTGTAATCAAATCAAATCTAATTTTATTGGTCACATGCGCCGAATACAACAGGTGCAGACATTACAGTGAAATGCTTACTTACAGCCCTTAACCAACAGTGCATTTATTTAAAAAAAAAAAAGTACAAATAAAACAACAACAAAAAAAAGTGTTGAGAAAAAAAGAGCAGAAGTAAAATAAAGTGACAGTAAGGAGGCTATATATACAGGGGGGTACCGTTGCAGAGTCAATGTGCGGGGGCACCGGCTAGTTGAGGTAGTTGAGGTAATATGTACATGCGGGTAGAGTTAAAGTGACTATGCATAAATACTTAACAGAGTAGCAGCAGCGTAAAAAGGATGGGGTGGGGGGGGCAGTGCAAATAGTCCGGGTAGCCATGATTAGCTGTTCAGGAGTCTTATGGCTTGGGGGTAGAAGCTGTTGAGAAGTCTTTTGGACCTAGACTTGGCACTCCGGTACCGCTTGCCGTGCGGTAGCAGAGAGAACAGTCTATGACTAGGGTGGCTGGAGTCTTTGACAATTTTGAGGGCCTTCCTCTGACACCGCCTGGTATAGAGGTCCTGGATGGCAGGAAGCTTTACCCCAGTGATGTACTGGGCCGTACGCACTACCCTCTGTAGTGCCTTGCGGTCGGAGGCCAAGCAGTTGCCATACCAGGCGGTGATGCAACCAGTCAGGATGCTCTCGATGGTGCAGCTGTAGAATTTTTTGAGGATCTGAGGACCCATGCCAAATCTTTTCAGTCTCCTGAGGGGGAATAGGCTTTGTCGTGCCCTCTTCACGACTGTCTTGGTGTGTTTGGACCATGATAGTTCGTTGGTGATGTGGACACCAAGGAACTTGAAGCTCTCAACCTGTTCCACTACAGCCCCGTCGATGAGAATGGGGGCGCTCAGTCCTCTTTTTTTTCCTGTAGTCCACAATCATCTCCTTTGTCTTGGTCACATTGAGGGAGAGGTTGTTGTCCTGGCACCACACGGCCAGATCTCTGACCTCCTCCCTATAGGCTGTCTCATCGTTGTCGGTGATCAGGCCTACCACTGTTGTGTCGTCGGCAAACTTAATGATGGGTTTTAATCTTGACGATTACGCCTTACAGCTCATGAAAACCCCAAAATCAGGATCTCAGAAAATTAGAATATGACATAAGACCAGTGAAAAAAGGAAATGTAATACAGACTTGTCGGCCTTCTGAAAAGTATGTTCTTGTACATGCAGTCAGTACTTGGTTGGGGCTCCTTTTGCATGAATCACTGCATCTATGCAGCGTGGCATGGAGTCGATCAGCCTGTGGCACTGCTGAGGTGTTATGCAAGCCCAGGTTGCTTCGATAGCGGCCTTCAGCTCGTCTGCATTGTTGGGTCTTGTGTCTCTCATCTTCCTCTTGACAATACCCCATAAATTCTCTATGGGGTTCAGATCAGGCGAGTTTGCTGGCCAATCAAGCACAGTAATCCCATGGTCATTGAACCAGGTATTGGTACCTTTGGCAGTGTGGGCAGGTGCCAAGTCCTGCTGGAAAATGAAATCAGCATCTCCATAAAGCTTGTCAGCAGAAGGAAGCATGAAGTGCTCTAACATTTCCTGGTAGATGGCTGAGTTGACTTTGGACGTGATGAAACACAGTGGACCAACACCAGAAGATGACATGGCTCCCCAAATCATCACCGACTGTGGAAACTTTACACTGGACTTCAAGCAACTTGGATTCTGTGCCTCTCCACTCTTCCTCCAGACTCTGGGACCTTGATTGCCAAATGAAATGCAAAATGTACTTACATCTTAAAAGAGGACTTTGGACCACTGAGCGACTGACCAGTTATTTTTCTCCTTAGCCCAGGTAAGACGCTTCTGACGTTGCATCTGGTTCAGGAGTGGCTTGACACGAGGAATGCGACAGTTGTAGCCCATTTCCTGGATACGTCTGTGGCTCTTGATGCACTGACTCCTGCCTCAGTCCACTCCTTGTGAAGCTCCCCCACATTTTTGAATGGCCTTTGCTTGACAATCCTCTCAAGGCTCCGGTTATCCCTGTTGCTTGTTCACCTTTTCCTACCACACTTCTTCCTTCCACTCGACTTTCCATGAATATGCTTGGATACAGCACTCTGTGAACAGCCAGCTTCTTTAGCAATTATCTTTTGAGGCTTTCCCTCCTTGTGGAGGGTGTTGACAGTTGTGCAGAAGACAGTCATCAAGTCAGCAGTCTTCCCCATGATTGTGAAGCCTACTGAACTGGACTGAGAGATCAGGAAACCTTTGCAGGTGTTTTGAGTTAGTTAGCTGATTAGAGTGTGACACCTACAATATTGAACTTTTTCACAATATTCTAATTTTCTGAGATAATGATTTTGGGGTTTTCATGAGCTGTAAGGCGTAATCATCAAGATTAAAACAAATACAGCCTTGAACTATTTCACTTTTTGGGTAATTAATCAACGATGATATATATGAGTTTCACTTTGTCAATTGAATTATAGAAATTACTTAACTTTTCCACAATATTCTAATTTATTAAGCTGCACGTGTATATATATGGTAAGTTGTTTGGTACACAATTATGCATTTTTCAACCCTGAAAGGGTGCGCTGATTCACATTGAATGTGTGGAGAATTATATATGGGATACATTCCTTGAGTCAATATATTTAACATATTGAGCTTTTATTTGATTTTGTTCTCTTTTTATGT